GTTCTTCCATGGTGTTCTGAATGATTAAGATATTTTATGAGGTTAAAAAACTCCAGAACATAACCTGTGAGGCCAATAAATGGTGAATGGAAGCAATATGTGTAAAACAGGCATGAAGTCACTTATCTTTGATCACAGAATACCGTCAACAAATTAAGATGTTGAAAAGAACTTGTTTGGATTCTGAGCAAATCTGGGCCTGGGCCCCGTTCCTCAAAGCGATCGTAGCGCTACAGCAGTCGTAAGTCTATGTTAAAGTATGGGAGTTACGATCAACTTTGCGCTACGATCGCTTTGAGGAACAGGGCCCTGGTTACTCGGTTGCCTGCCGTAGGAATGGTTGGTTGGTGTTTAACGCCGCGCTCAGCAATAGTCCAGCTTTATGGCGGCGGTCTGTATATAATCGAATCTGGACCAGACAATCCAGTGATCAACAGTTTGAGCATCGATCAACGCAGTTGGGATACGATGACATAAGTCAATCAAGTCAGCGAGCCTGATCCCGTAAGTCGCCTCTTATGACACGCAAGGGTTGCTGAAGAACAATTCTAACCCGGCTCTTCACGGAGACTAACGGTCCATATAATGTCTGCCCTGTGCTATCGTGCGTTGATTGATTTCATGTATAATATTTTCCAGGCGGACGCTGAATTATGGAACAAACCACTTGTATGTATCTGACATAATGCAACTGTGCTTACTAACTGACACCAAGCTCGTGTGGTTTTCACCAAGGGAAAATTACTTCACAATTTCAAAAGACTCAATGTACAACATAAATGTATTTGCATAGCCATTACTATCCTGTATAGAAAGCAACAAAGAACCACACACTGGAAAATGCAATTATTATTTATGGTATCAGACATTTAACAAAGTTAAAGCGAATCTCAGACTAACACGTGGCCATACACCTTTTTATTCTAGCTTGCTCGAAGATCTTAATGTTTCAAAGTGATATATTGCCTTTTCTCTAAAACATAAATAACATCTGCGGAAGGAAGAGTTACCTTCAAGCAACCCGCAACACACTTCTTTTGAACCCATTCCGTATTTTTTGTTAGCATTTTACGACAGAAGTCCCTATTTAACTATGTACCTGTGAGATCATTGGCATGTTCTTTCTCAAGTACTTCGAAAATATACCTGATTTATGTTCATTTGGACAACGACGTGCCAATATCATTTGATATCAAGTTCTCTTTTCCAGCTAACAACTTCCTAACACTAAAGCAAATTATCACGCCACTACAAAACCCAAATATTCCAGATTTGCGGAACTGTTTCTTGATGTGAAGATTACGACACAAGTGTCGCCAAAACAGCCACTTTTAACTTGAGAAGTGTAGCTGATATGTGCTTGATGAAACACCGTTGTGCAGTTGATACAGAAAGGACGTACAAAGTGAATTATGTCGTCATTTCCAGTGCTCTCATGTATGTTTGGACTGCATGTATGACTACACAGATTCTTATTTTGGCTCAGCCGTCGTGACATTGCTGGCGTAAAACTAAACTCACTCACTCTTTTGGCTCAAATCACAGATGATTTTATGTTCATACATTTGTAACTGACTTATACTTGCTTAGCAAGTGCGCGCCAGACGGGTGTCTAGATTATGACAAAAGAATAACATGGTCAAAATCTTTCTTTATTACATCACCTGAATATAAGCTCTACTCTGTGATGAGTCCACACTGACTTTGAGATTTTGGCATTCACTGAAATGTTAGAAGTAAAGGGAAACAAACATTTTGAAATCATTCCTCAAGCCATTGGGGCTTTAATTGTTCTGAAATCCAAACCATTTTTCTTGTAATGATTCACGCCAAAACGGCCCAAGGGAAAGCAGCATTTCCATAATGAAGGGCTGCCTACAGTCACAAACGACTTATGGCAAAAAAGATGATGTTTCCACCAAATACTGGACATTAACGTCTGACCAGAAGTTGGACTTCAACCAACTGAGGTAAAAATGCAAAATTATATACGGATAAAAGAGTTGTCTACACAATACTGCTCTGGAATTTTATTGCCCAGCATATAGTTATTATCCTGTTCTGTATTCACAGAGGATCCTTTGCAAAATCATCACATTTCATGTAATAAAGCAATTTTGTTGTGGAACGTTAGACGCGTTCCTTTTGAAACGTTCGGGAATAAAAGTCAAAGCTTTAAAAATCTGAACCCTTAAAGTGTCTCATTTGCAGTTGGCACAATGCGAGAGTAAAGTAGATGTAAGTAGATTTCCTCCCATTACACACCAGACAGACACATAGCGTTTAAATGTACGGGATTAAAGACAAACTTCGAAAGATTTCGAAAGGTTCCATTTGTGTTTGAAACATTACGATCGTAAAGTAGGCAAATGCTGATTCATTCCCATTACACACCAGGCAGAAATCACATTTAAACATTTTTACAACCACAAAACTGTTATCTTATTTGCTTTAATCGCGCATAAAGTAGGAAAACGAGGAAAGGAAGAGGTCCGTGAATAAAATTCAATTAATAGGATAACATGTCAGATCATTGCAATAAACAAAGTGGCACAGAGACTGCCAAATCTGGCCTTCAGATCATCTGAGTGGTAATAAAGATGAACTGTCAGTGGATGATAAGCTGGTAACAAACTAGAAACTGGAAAATGTATTCTCTTCAATGCCCTCGTTTCAGTTGAATCAATAACAACAACAAAAAGTAAACATATAAAGAAAAAAACAACAGTTTGATGAATATAGATTTATATTTCACTGATTCGAACTTCATTGAAATCGATAAATCTTTTGTTACGATGTCACTCTATAGCCACAGCTGCGACTAATGGTTACACATTCGTCTAAAAGGCTGCAAATCGTTGTGACATGTTGGGCACCAATGATTGCATTTCCGTTCGCACTTATTTATGCTTTTTAAGATAGTAAGAATGCAATATATATTCTGGTTGGTTTCATTACAGAGATATGCGGCTAAAATCAACATCACTTCCACCTCTCCTGACGCACCCAGAAGACATGTTGTGATATAAAAGAAAAAAGCTTCAAAGCAACGATAAACCAACCTCACTCCTAAAACGTGTACGCATGAGTGCTTTCAGTGAAAAGTTGATGTTCCTGATCGCATCATTGTTTGTTGTTTAAGATAATAGTGTTAAAGTAATCTGGCGGAGATATGGAAGTAATGGAAACACAATCCTCTCCTTGAGCATCAGTTCTTGCAAGCGGGATACGGAGCTATGTAATGAAAATCTGCCGACCAAATACATTTAGTCACCTTTTAAAACCAGCAAAGGAACACAAAGATAATTCCAAATTGAAAAGACACTGTTCCAATAAATTCATGGATGGTCATATCTTCAGCGGACACGAGGAGAGGTTGTTTTATTGAACATTTTATTGACGCAACTCAGTCCGCATCTGTCTACTTACATAGACCTTATGCTGATATCACTATCGTTGTTTGATTTACGTTTATTTACTAGCTCTCTCCCATGACGTTACACACCGTGATGACGATATTTTGTAATGTAATTGTTCAATTTCAAACAACTACCATTTTCTCTATTTCTGTACATGTTTGATATAGCGATAACCGATGCCACATCAATTTCAGGAAAATAATGCATTTTCAAGCTACAAATGCAAGAGTAACAAAACCCCATCCTACATAAAACATACTGTTTTTATGTCAGTCCATCCTTAACAAAATTGCTCCCAAGTTTCACTGTGGCAATTTGTCAAAGAGTCGATGACGTTGATCCCTCTGAGGTACATGGAAAGAGATGAACCACAAGGAACATAATTGTTGTCTCATACATTTGTATGCTGAAGTAGTTGAAGCGACACTACTCTTCAGCAAAATGTAGTCCCACTCTTCAGTCGAAGCGTAATCAGTCTGTTGTGAGGAAACGTGTACATGTGTGTAAACACCCTCGCGTCAAAAGGGGGGCGTGCATATTGTTTGAAATATCGATTTTCAGCCAGCTGTTCAGACCTAAATGTCAGAATACTCCATATTAAACGACGTATACAACATAACCTAATGAAAGTACTACTTGTGTTTTATGTGTATTGACCTAAGACCTTCCTTTATCGGAGTTGCCTAATTACAGAAAAAAACACACATTATTACACAATAATCATTGAGCCACTACATTTTTTTCATTCAGATGATGATGGATATATACTTCCATCAGACTCCCCACATCAATTAAGACAGGTAACCGTCCATCAGGGACATCATCCCCACCATTCTATGCGTGTAAGATATGTTTCATCTGGTATATTGAAAGCACTGTGCCTGATACCAATCGGATACATATCTGTACTGTAGACTTGTTTCTTTCAACGATGTCACGTGCTGAAAACAAACAGTGGCTCATCGAAGGCGTTGCAACTCTCTATACAGAAAACCTGACCAACATCATAGTGGGTTCGAATCTTGGTTTGCCTTGATCACACTATTGGGTTTGTCAGCAGGACCTGTTGGTATCAACACCTAAGATCGCTGACTTGCCTGACACATGCCATTATACAGCAATGGCGGGAGTGAGTGAATATATCATTACGCCACTTATAGCAATATTCCAGCAATATCATGTCGGGGACACCAGAAATGGGCCTCGCTCAGTGTACCCTTGTAGGAAATCGAGTCCGGGTCTACGGCGATGCTCATGATGTCAATCACTGGATTTTCTGGTCAAGAGTTGAGTATATGTCATATAACTGGAATATTGCTGTGCGCGGCCTTGAAGAACAAACTAAATCGTAATGCGATGTCCTCCCCTATTACCCTCACACTGTGTCGTATACATTAAACACGGCAAGACTCACAAGAACATCATGAATCGAGTTAACCTATTCAACTTAAGATGCTTAGTCTCTAATTCAATATGCTGCTTCTGATCCATTGAAAGCTAGTCAAACACATCGAAATAGTTCGTGATCAAATTTCGCAAGTTTGCGAATTTTAACATTAATCCTATATGTGACCTTACAAGGAAGTGATTAATCATACTTGAAAGTCGGTTATTCACTCACATACGAAAGTAACAGCTGAACATGATTTTAAACTAATATGGTATTTAAACAGTAAGCCGACTGTTTTCTGTGGAAGAAATGTTAATATCTGCTGAAGGGTATTATGCTTACAAACGAGAATGTTTTCAGATCAAATTGACTGATGAGTGATAATCCCTCCAGCATCCATCCAACACCAATCAGATTACAATGCTACTGCCAAACTCTTAAAAGATCCGTTTTCAGCATGCATTGTAGTGCCCACTTTATCAGTCGCTGTTAGAAAAGTGTTGTAACAAAATCTCTTAGGTCAGATTTCATTGTTTCATGGTACATTTTGTCAATCCAGACCCAGTCCAGTGTCTCAGTGTTTGTTTGCCCTCAATTCAAAGGTGCGTATTGGCGTTGAAATTACGATGGACGGCAGGAATCCTATTGAGAACACTCATGATCGTTCAGCCAAAACACGAAGCTTTGCCAACCATTTTACTGGGAACAAATTTTTTAATGTGTTGGAATTGTAGATTGCACTGTCTCACTGTCAATCATGTACTGAGTGAGTGAGTGAGTTAAAATTTAACGTCACATCGGCCATATTTCAGCCATACCGTGACGAGAACAGTTAATTTTATACATAGTAATTAATGGTAAACTGTAAAAACCTGTCAACGAAGGGACAGTAAAATAACTAGATTATCACATATTCGAATTTAAAACTAGTAATTAAATCTAAAATACTTTAACTATAGAGGACGATACACTATAAAACAGGCTATTGATCGCCAACAACTGAAGATAGATCACCATACTAGGGTCAATCATGTACTGATCATCAGTATTCATTACTTTGAATTCGAATACCCATCTAAATAAATGCGTCTCCATTTGATGCATTTTGATAAAGAAGAATTCAGGCATATCACCAAGGTACGACAAACACATTTAAGGCTCGCGAAGCAAATTGCTCATCTCATTATTCCCCCACAGTAATATTACAGATTTGAAGATGTCTGACACATAAGGCAGATGTTTTCCTATGATTAATTCCGTTCGGTTGGAAATCATTTTAATCATTTTGAAAGCGTTATATAATGGTTATATTTCTATAGTGAACAAAATGCGTTCACGCTTCAGACCCTTTAGGTCATATTTCCTTGTCTGTTCTCCTGTACATCAGAAGGAGGATTATGATGTAAACATGGTACAGTTATTTTAAGGCATCCTGGCTGATATCTAAATGTTATTTCGTGGCACTACTCCCATCATGGGAACTGCTTGACATATATGTTATGAACACTTTGCAACATCAAAGGGATTAGAATCAAATCACCCATACATTAAATGTAATGGCTTTATTTGAATATGTATCTCCTGCCGGGATGGAAACGGCACGGTGAATAAGTACAAACTACTGTTGAACCAAGATTCGGAAGGTACTGCACTGCGTACGGACAGAAAGCAGTTGTCGGATCTCTCAGCACAGTGTCCTTCCAATAATCTGCAGAAAGGTGTTGATTCCCAAGTTGAAACTAAAGAGTTAACCGAGAATCAGTCCGGAAAAGGATTGGGCATGACACCAACAAACAAACAAAAAATGGGATGTGATTAACAACTGTGTTCTAACATAAAGTATACAGATCAGTACAAATGTATCACTATGGCAGTATAAACCTGAGTGGCAGTGCACATTCAAAGGTAATGATATACGACGCAGTTATAATAGCACTATAGACACAGATGGTAACTCCTCTCTCAGTAACAGTATTCCTACTTGCATCTGGACAGAGTATCCATGGTACAATGATTATCACACACAACGTTTATCTTCTTGTACCTTGAGACGTAATGTAAGATGCGAGGCAAGAGTTACATCCGATTATGACCCTAAGAAAAAGACAGGTGTGCGAGTTGCACGTATGAAATTTCAAATTGAAATTTCACTACGCACGCTTGTTGATTACCAGGCTGTTCTACCAGCAAGTAGTCCCCCCCCTCCCCCTCCTCCTAAACAATATCGAAAAGTGACAACAAAATAATGATCGTTTGTCAAACACTGCACTGATTTTTCCATCACAAGGGATAAATATTTTAATGTCAAAACAATTAAGGATCTTTTTTATAATGTTAATTATCATTTAAGATTTTGAATGTTTTAAGAAAATAGAATTATTACATAAATTTTGAATAATATGTTTTGTAAATAGATAAATGGTATTTAAAACATGGTAGTATGAAATAGCAACTGCGATTGTTAGTGGCTGTATCCTCGAAGGGGTTAAAGTATTGTAAAATTATTGTCCTCCTGAGAGGGTACATAAGTCCCAAACACTTTCAACCATACTTTTTAATCGTAGTATTTTTGTGATTTTAATTTCGGCTAAATCTTCCTACCATCGCCAGGCTGAAAGGATGGTGTAAATCCAGCTTGGGTCCATGCAGGTAGCAAAAGTAATGTAAGTCCCCATGGTTCCTAGTATGGTGATCTACCTTCAGTTGTTGGCGATCCATAGCCCGTGTTTTATACTGTATTGTCGTCTTTAATTACAATCATTTAATTTAACATGCTAGTTTTATCTTCATATACGTGATACTGTAGTGGTTTTACTGTCCATCGTCAACATGTTTCACTCTCAAAAATGTTTTCTTTTTTATTGTATAAATTGTTTTCGTCACGATATGGCTGAGTTATTGCCGATGTGACGTTAAATATTAACTCACTCACTCACTCGTTTGTCAAACAGGTTTTTTATTCGGGTGTCCAAAATTATGAGACAAATCATCAGAGTTGGTCTGCCGATTTCATGTGACATTGCAAACTTTGCTTTTGTTGCAATTATTAGATTTTGCGTTAGAGAGCAATTCATCGGTCTCAAATGAAATCAAACAGACTGTAAAAACGGGCATCAGAAGAGTTCATGCCCAGTTTTGATCATATTTATTAAGGGCTTGTCAGCACCATACCCGTGTTCGGTGTTTAACTAAAGTGATAAACATCTTAGACTTACACCACTGCATGATTTCCCTCAATGTTAAGTTGCCAATGTGATCGGACTGCAATTCATTTATTGAGCCGTACAACCCAAGACACTAACACTTAAGGCACTGTGCTATGTGACAGAAAATGGGAATATTGTTTGTAAAATAGTGCTAAATGTAATTGCACATTGATATGGACATGTTATTTTCAATATTCACTTAGCCGTTCTCTACAAGGATAAATGTCATTATACTCACGGATTTGCATAAAGTCGATCAACTGAGTTAAATGAATACAGATTGTTAGTATATAAGTCGCAGCAAGACAGTCAAATCTATCATTCAAATAAATCCCTTGTCACTGCTAAGTGACGATATCGTCACTCGCTAAAGTTGGTAAAGTAAATTTGACACTTAATACTTTCCTGTTATTCAGCGTCTCCCCAGCAAATCATAGTCGTGCTTATCTAAGTATTCCAGTAAACTAGTTCACACAGTGAGTGAGTGAGTTATTATTTAACGTCACATCGGCAATATTTCAGCCATATCGTGACGAGAAGATATGTGACATTGAAGCATACACAATAAATACAAGTAGGGAAATAATCAGTCATCGACGGACTGTAAAATAACTAGAGTATCACAGATATGGATTTAAAACTAGCATGGAAAACTAAAACTTTTTAATGAAAGCAGACAATACAATATAAAATACGGGCTAAAGATCGCCAACAACTGAGGGTAGATCACCATACTAGGAACCATGGGGAGTCCCGGACTTACATTACTTTTTGCTACCTGCATGGACCCTAGTTGGATTTACACCATCCCCTCAGCCTCTGGCGATGGTAGGAAGATTTAGCCGAAATTTAAAATAACAAAAATACTACGATTAAAACATATGGTTGAGCGAAATTGACTTGGAAAGTTTTGGGACTTGCGTATCCTCTCAGGAAGACAATAATTTTACGCTACTTCAACCCCCTTTGAGGATACAGCCACAAACAATCTAAGTTCATAATCTGAACTACCAATTATAAAACTCTATTTACAAAACATATATCAAAATTCATTTAACAAATCTATCTCTTTTAAAAAATCAATGATTAAATGATAATTAAATTTATTAAAGAGGTCCTTGACTGTTTTGATTTTGAAATATTTATCCCTTATGATGGAGATTTCAACACAGTCAAGCAGGAGATGCTTGACCATGGTTCTCTCCATCACAAGGGATACAAAACGGAGGATCCTCACCTTTCAATAGGTATGCATGAGTATATCTTGTGTGGCCAATACGACATCGTCATATGATGACCTCTTCAAATCTGGACTGACAACCCAAGTAAGTGTAACCGATATAGGGTTTTATTTCATGTAATTTATTTATACCTACTTGGGTGTCCCACTTCTTCTGCATCAGATCACGGATGTAGATTTTAATGCTAGCTTTGTAATCCGAGTCAGGGATAAGAAGTGGTGTCACAGATTTGTTGAGTGCTGCCTTGGTAGCAAGATCGGCCATTGTGTTCCCGGAAATGCCAACATGACTGGGTAACCAACAGAAGACGATGTCGGATTGGCCAGTAGCCAGATCATTATACAATTCAATAATTTCAATTAAAATTGAAGTTTGCAAGAAAGATTTTTAATCGCCTGAAGGCAAGAAAGAGCGTCAGAAAAGATTATATATTGTTTATATTTAGGGTGTGTATAAATATATTTTAAGGCTGTTAATATGGCGTTAGCTTCCGCTGTGAAAATAGAGCTGACATCAGGCAATCGAGAAGATATTGTTCTTGACCCAATGACAGTAGCACAATCCTTGGATCCATCTGTAAATAAGGATTTATATGTATTATATTTAATTCTTTATTGACTAAATTCTTGTTTATACTCTAATTCATTAGTTTCTGATGTTTTAAATGTGGTCAATGTTAGGTCAACTTGGGGCCTAACCAATTGCCAAGGAGAAGAAGAAAGAAAACGGGAAGAAGATATATTGTCAAGCTCAATGGCGGCAGCAGAAATGAAAGGTTTAATTCTGAGCCCAAGAGGCGGAACAAGAGAAGGTTTCTTATTGTATAAATGCTCATAGAGGGGATCAAAGACACAATTAAATGCAGGGTTAGATTTGTTAGAGTATAGTTTTGTAGTATATTGTAAAGATAATTTTATACGTCGTTGTGTAAGAGATGGTTCATCTGCCTCGACGTAGAGACTGTCAACAGGAGAAGTTCTAAAAGATCCAAGACAAAGTCTGAGACCTTGGTGATGGATAGAATCTAAGATTTTAAGGTTGTTTTTGCAGGCCCCACCATATACAATGGAGCCATAATCAAGTTTAGAGCGAATGAGTGATCTGTATAAGTGAAGTAGGGTAGATTGATCCCCTCCCCATTTTGAATTGGAAACAACTTTTAACAAGTCGAGTGCTTTCAAGCATTTAGCCTTAAGAGATTTAATATGCGGCAAAAACGTCAAGTGGGAGTCAAAAATAGACCCAGAAACTTGGTCTCTTTTACAACTTTGATAGGTGTTCCGTTTAGAAATAGTTCAGGGTCTTTATGTGGTTTGTATTTACGGCAGAAATGTATGCAATTAGTTTTGGACTTAGAAAATTTAAAACCATTTTCTAAACACCATTTATTTATTTTGTTTAGACACAACTGCATTTGCCGTTAACAGTATGCATATGCCGAAATATTAAAATCATCCACAAAAAGTGATCCATCAATTGAATCATTGAAAACCTTTGATAAACTGTTAATCTTGATACTAAATAAAGTCACAGACAAAAATACTGCCGTGTGGGACACCCTGATCCTGATTGTAATGATCAGACAGGGTAGAACCCACGCGGACTTGAAATAGTCTGTCATTTAAAAAGTTAGTTATCAATTGAGGCAAACGGCCTCGCAATCCGAAGCCATGTAAATCTTTTTAAATGCCATATTTCCATGTAGTGTCATATGCTTTTTCTAGATCAAAAAAGATAGACACAGCGTGTTGTTTATTAATTAGAGCGTTTTTAACAAATGATTCCAAACGCACTAGGTGATCGCCAGTACTTCTGTTTTACGGAAACCACATTGTATATCTGTTACAAGGTTATTTGTTTCCAAGTACCAATCAAGTCGATTATTTATCATGCGTTCCATGGTTTTGCAAACACGGCTAGTTAGTGAAATCGGCCGATAATTGGACGGATCCGTATGATCACGTCCAGGTTTAGGTATTGGTACTACTATAGCGTCACGCCACGAGGAAGGAAATGGCCCTGACGTCCAAACATCATCCAAAATGTGTAAGAGCGTCTCTAAACATGATTCTGGTAAGTGCTTCAGGAGTTGATAATGTATGTTATCAGCACCTGTAGCAGTATCGTGAGCTTGCTCAAGAGCAGTATGGAGTTCATGAATAGAAAATGTTTCATAATAATCTTCCCCATTATCTGAATTGAAATTAATAGTTTTCTTTTCTTCTTGTTTTTGATATTGTTGGAATTTAGGCACATAATTAGAAGAGGAAGAGTGTTTAGCGAGAGTTTCAACAGGTTTATTCGCAATATCTGATTTATTGGTAAGTAATTGATCTCCATGTTTAAGATGATGGACACTATATTTAGTACCTTTACCTTTAATTTTTCTGGACCATGTTACATACTTTGGACATGAGAGTTCGAGAAGGTATTTAAAATTCTAAATTTACTTAAATTATGCACCATAGGGTGGCGACGGAAATAATGTTCTGCTTGTTTTCGTGCCAGAAGGCTGTATCAGAAGGAGGTCTAGATACGGAAGCATATTAAATTTCCGTTAGTTCAGATGTTTGGACTAGTTTTGTGGCTTCTGCAAAACTAATGTCTTGCGTAAATTTTATTTTATTGGTTTCCATTTGCTGTTTGGGACAGTCTTTTGAGAAAGAGGAGT